CGTCTCGACTCGCACACCTGTTGCGCTTCAGGACCCTCCAAAGAGGCTCCCGCTCCCCCCCCCCCCCCCAGGCAGAGCGGAGCCGCCTGCAGCTGCTGCCCACCCGCCTGCTCCCTGCAAAGCCCCAGCAGAGCAGCCCGCCCTGCACCCAGCCCCCGACCCCAGGAGCGCCGGTCTCAATTAACCCAGGTCAGCACAAGTGCGGCCACAATGGGCGGGACCACGGGTGTTGTTTTATTTCCTAATCCACGGAGCGTCCCAAGAATGGGCCTCGGTTTGAAATGACCTAAGAGGCACTTGTCCCCAAGGCCACCGGGGAGTGTTCGGCGGCCCGGAGCTTTTCCCTGACGCTTTGTGCGTCCCTTTCATGCATAATCTGCCCCTAACAAGCTACCTGCTCCGGCTCATTCTTTTCTCCTGGAAAATCAATGGGAGAGAGTGGATGGTTCACAATTCTTGTTTGCAAGCCAAGAATAAAATGATTTTTCAACGAGCGAGCGGAGAAAAGAATGTGCTGTCTCCGCAGGGGCACAGCGTTTGGAGAGGCCGGAGCTTAGCGTCCGGGAATGCGACGACCTCTTCAAGGGCGTCTTTCGGCTCACGGCCTCCCCAAAACGGCTCCGCCGGGTCTCGGAGCAAGTCCCCGCCAGGTCCACTGGGTGGACGGGTCCGCCGTGCGGGGGATGGGGGGTGGCGAGCGGCTGCTCCCGAGTGGGTAAGACACTGCTCGGCGACTGGATGTCAGATTTTTTTTTTTCACCAAATCAAGCAAGTGAGTGAATAAACTCATTGTGTGGATAAAGGCCACCGGTCGTGTGACGTTCCCTATCAGAGCCGACACGGGAAGGCCACCCGCACTCCGAGCTGCCCCAGAAGCGAACTGGAGAGCAGCTCCTGGCTGCCTGGGCGCTGACCTGTCCCCACGGGCCACGGCTCCCCGGAAAGTCAGCGGCCTCAGGTGCAGCTGGTCCGCTGCAGGTGACGCAGACCCCGCATCCCAGGTCCGGAATGTCCACAAATGTGCCCCCCACCCCGGAAGAACCCGGCAGGGGTCGTCGGGATTGGGGTGCCGGCCCCACTCGAGCCGGAAGACCACGCCGTGACTAGCTCAGGGGGCAGGGTCCCCACACGCCCACTGGGGCCGGGCTCCTGGGGCCCATGGATTTCAGAAGAGCTTCCTGAGCCCGTGGAGCTTGTGTTTCAGCCTGTTGGTCCCATTCCCGCAGTGCAGTGCCCGGGCGTCCTAGGCTCTTGGGGGGGGACGACCAGGACAGGAAACTGCACCCCCGGAGCTGCCGGGGGCTGGGCACAGACGAGGCAGCGGGCGGTTTCGGGCGTGACTGTGCCGGAGAAGCTGGAGGGAGGGGCCGCGGGTCGGAGGGAGGGCAGTCTGGGCAGCGCAGGCCACCCCCCCCCCCCCGCGCACGGGAGAAACCCGTGACCCCCGTGACCCCGCAGCCACGAGGGGGCGGGGCCCCGAGGCTAACGTGTGAGTCTTGTCTCGCCTTCATGAAATCAGAAAAGATTGGGAAAGCTTCGCTAAATAGGTTGACTTCATTTTAATTACTCTTTAGCCCTCACCTGAGGACATATTTATTGACTTTAGAGAAAGAAGAAGGGGGGAGAGAGAGAGAGAAACATCGATCAGTGGCCACCCATGTGCAGCCAGACGGAGAATCGAACTCGCAACCTTTGGTTTACAGGATGATGCCCCGACCAGCTGACCACATGGCCAAGGCTGAGTGGGTTAATTTCCTAGAATGACTTAGCAACTGGGATAGAAAAGAAATAAAGGTCAAAGTTATTCAGAAAAAAAAATTTAATTAGACTAAATTTAAATTGTGTGGAAAACTTTCAACCATTTTAGAGGAAATTCAAACAGTGGTGACCAAGCCCACATCCTCAAGGAGAGCGTCCACCTTGCTGTCTCTCTGCTGGCGCCAGGCCATGTGTGTGAGGCCCGGCGGGTGCGAGGTCATGCATGTGACCACAGGCGCGGTGCCTGTCTCGTCGGCCGCACTCAGATGGCGCTTTCCACACGGATGAGCTCGCGGCGGCCCCAGCGCCACAGACAGCGGTCCCGGAGGGCGTCTGCCCCAAGAGGCGTAGCATTCCTCGGCCTGCAGATTAACTGCCTCTCAGAGATGCTGCCCAGATGTGCCCCCCCCCCCGCGCCCCGGGCAACAGCTGGGAGCCGCACCCGCCCTCCTGCCTTCCGTCCCCAGGTTCTGAGCGAGTAAAGGCTGCCTCCTCAGTGGCTGGGCTGGTGCGGGAGGCGTGATTTCCTGTGTGCGTTACGCAGGGGCAAGCTCCGTGCGCCTCCACTTCTGACGGGACACAGAGGAGCTGCCGCCTCCTCGGTCACCCGCCCCATCCCAGGAGCTGAGGCATTGGGAGCAGGTGCAGGCCGTCCCCTGCGCGCCCCTCAGCGGCACGTGGCTGCCGGCGTTTCCCTCCGTGTTCCGGATCGGGGCAGGCTGGTTTCCGCGGATCAGAAGTGAAACAGAGACGTCTTCGTCAATGACTGGCTGCTGGTGGGCTGCAGAGGGTGTGCCGGGCGTGCTGGGGGTGAGGGGCAGAGTCCGAGGGGCTCGGGGTGCTCGCTCAGATTCGTGGGTTCGCCACGGGCAGAGGGGCTGCCTCTGCTGCCTCTGTGTGGGGGGAGGATCTGGGAGGTGCCTGGGCCAGGAAAGCTGCCCCACACGACGCCCACTTGTCCGCTCCAGTCTTGCTGCTGACCGGAGGCAGAAAACCCGCGATCACGTGGCGTACAGCAGTCAGCTTTCCTCTCCGCAGCCCTGTGAGCTCCGGGAACTGCGTCCCTGGCTTCGGGCCGGAGAGAACGCTCAGAGACACTCCTGGGCAGGCGGAGCACTCGAATCTCCCGCGGCCCCAAGCAAGCGTCTCTTTTTTGTTGTATAGCTTGGCCCATGAATTACTGGCCAATAATTACAATAATCGGGGCCTGGACAGAAGGCTGCAAAGACATGCTTCACTCCAAGTAGTGGACAGTGTAAGAACCTTACAATTTGGCATTCGGAAAACCACGCGTGGGACTGAGTCTGGCCCGGACTGAGCACGGCCACCTCGTAAGTTCGAGGCGGGAGCGTGAGTCCCCTGGGTCCTGTCCGGAGGGACCTGGTGTTGGGCGCAGCCTACACCGCGAGGCGGGAAGCCAGAGAGACCGACGGTCAGAACAGGCGATCGAGGTAAAGGGGGGACAGAAGTTGTTCTTCATTTTTTTAAGGTTTTATATTTACTTTATTTATTTTATGTATTTAAGGGAACTAAGAGTCCCCGAGGAAAGACACCTGCTCTAGCCCAGCCCCAGACCAGGGTCCCTGGAAGTCACCGAGTCCTCATCTGTGACCTGGAGCAGCCATGCTCACCTCATAGGAGTGTCCTGGGACCAGGTAGTGTCCCAGACACACAAAACTGACCCCCTGTGTTCTGGCTGCTGGGCCGCAGCCCCTCACTCGGCTTGGCCACGTCTGCTGCCCTGGGCCTGCCCGGAGCCCGGGCGGGCTCACCCGGCCTCTCCTGCAGTGGAAAGGGGCTGCGGTCAGGGACAGCGGGCGGGGCACGGTCAGCACCTGCGGGGCCTGCCGGGGGCTTGGTCAACAAGTGGCAGCTCCTGTGTGGCCCCGGTGACAGCGTCCTGTCCTCACCCAAGCAGGGAGCACATTTCATAGCGGAGGCTCCCTTGCCCTCGCATCTGAAAGGTTTCAAAAGATGACTAAGGAAAATAAAAGCAGAATGGACGGTTAAGAAAAGCAAATTGGAGGGTATACACAAATTTAATTATTCTAACAAGATGTCTCTTTGAGACTTCTTTTCCCTTTCAGGCCCAAACCCGACTACAAATTAAGTCACTCCACTAAGAGGCACAAAGGAAGTCACCTCTAACTTTTTTAAGGGCCACTTTGTAACCGTGGGTCCCTCCCTCCCCCCTTTGGCTACAAGGGCATAACCCTGTAATTAACAACTTCTGCACAGCCGGCCGTGGTAATGGCCGTGTCTGGCCTCGAGGGAGGGAAAAGAAAAGCCCTTCTCTCTGCCCACCCCCCTCTCCACCCACAGGCCACCGGGCCCTGGCTGTCACGGGTCTTGCCAAGGTCGCGTTGTCCAGCAAACCTGAGTGACCAGGCCGTCTCCTGCCTCGGACGGTCCCTAGACTCTAACAGCTGCCTCCCTGCAGAGCAGCTGGAAGGGAAAGAGAGAAACCAAACCATACAAGCTGGGCTGAGATTAGATTATCAGCTCTCACAGAACCGTCTGCAACTTCAAAGGGCTGGGAGCTGGGGGACAGTTCGTCGGGCTGGAGAGCCCCCCAGACACAGAGCAGCGGGGCTGCCAGCCCCGTCGGGGTGAGTCTGGAGCCAGGACTCGGACGCACAGCTTCTCCTCTGGGGTGGAGGGGCCCTCACGGGCTCCGGACCTCGCACTGACCACCGCCAGGTCCTGGCCGAGCAGACGGCCCCTGCCTGCCCCGCGAGCTCCCGCCCACCGGTGTCCTCCCGAAAGCCCGGACTCACACTGCTCCTCCGACAGCTGCCCACTTGGCAGAGTGAGGCCCGTGGGCGGCCGTGAGCCGTCCGTGGGAGGACTCGCGCCTGCAAACACACAGAAGTGCCGAACAACTCACAAGTTTGGAAGCAAAACTTCAGTGACTGACCTCACTTCCTGATTAGACTTCATGGATTTTGGGGGATTTTGCTTATTTTGGGATTTTTCCAGTGGGATTAATGAGACTTGAATTTGGCCCACAGTCTCTTAGAACTAACCGGAACAATGGAAAATTAACGTCATGTTTATCGATACAGAGAAAAGTCCTCTGGCGAAAAAGATATCAAATAAAAAAACATTAAATTCTCCTGTGGTCACAGGACTCGTTAATGTGTAACTGCCTGGCCGCGCCAGGGCTCCCGGAGGGAACCGCAGAGGCCCGTCCCCCACTGCTCTCAGCCAGCTCCGGCCCCAGAGCCACCGACCCTCCAACATGCCCCTGCGCCACGTTGGGCCCCGGGGACACCCCGGAGCGATTCGGGCTCCCGGTTTTCCTCAGGGGCACCTTTCCCTGGTTTCCTCCTCTGAAGAACGGCCGGCCTTCGCCCGCCCTGCGTCCCGCTTTAATTCTAAGTTAAATTCCTTAATTATTTTGTTAACGGCTCAGCCTGCAGGACACAGTGGCCACATGGCTTTCGTTCACCGCGTGTATCCGACTCTCACGCCCAGTGTCAACGTCCCTGAGTAAGTGACGTACACACGAGTTTCTTCTCTCGTTTTATGTCTGAGGTTGGGGAAGGATCTCTGCTCTTAGGGTAAAAATGGCACATTTATTTCAAAGCACTGAGAAAGGACCAATCAGTACGCTTTCTAGGAGCACCCAAAACCCCAACATCCAGAGGCCATGAGCGTTAATATTTTGTGATAATTCCATCTTCTTTCTGTGTATTTCTACATTTGGAGATCATATGATTTTTACCATTTGAATTCGACCTTTTTCAGGAACTTATCTCAGCGTGTGTGGTTTTCCATGTCCTTGAACTCTGCAGGTAACTTTAAAGTCTAACCGTCTGTCATATAGGAAGTCACCGTGTAAGCCCATGAGGCTGAGTCACAGCACCCAGCACACAGAGCAGCCACTGCCCTGAGTGCCTACTGTGACCCTTTGTCCAGGGACCGATGAGTTGAGGTGCTGTGACCCCCGATAATGGATGGAAGATTGTGGGGCAAAGGGGCGAGCACCATGTCCACCATCTCAGGTGAGTCTGCCACACCCGGGCCTCCGCAGAAGTGACTCCACCCCTTGGCCCTCGGTGAAGAGCAACACTGTTTCCAGTTCTTCACTGGTCAGGCCTCACTGTAATGTATCCGATTTGTTTCCTCTGCCCAACAGGTATCCAGAGCTATGAAGATGTAGCAAAGCTGAGATATTTTGTTTCTTTTCTCATTTGCATTGCAACAGTTAATTCAGTGCAGGGGGCAGGAGGGAGGCAGAGGAAGCGAAGAGCCCAGGTGCTCTACAGAACCAAGAGCGGACAAAAAGCCCGCAAATGAACAGAGACTGGAGACTGCCCCCCGGTCTTTTGCTGGGAGAGGTCGTTTCAGATGACGCCGTCTCATCTCAGAAAGGTGTGCAGAAGGGCCAGCCACGCAGGGCCCCGTGTCAGGGCACCGCCACCACCAGAAAGTCTCTTTGGAGGTGGCAGGGAGGCGTCCGCATCACAAAAAACACAACTTAATGGCCCCTAATCAGCATGGTAGTTAGCATTTTAAGAAAAAAATATTCAAATGAATGGATTTCCCTTCACACTTTAAAAATAGTGGCACCACAGCAAGAAGACAGCCTTTGCTGACCAGACACAGGGACCGTTCCTTCTCCAGCCCGGCCACCATCTGCCGTTCCGTCATCCAAACTGCTTGAAAAGTCTTTCAGAGTTAAAGCCAGTTCTCTCTTTTGCAATTTTTTCCCTACCTATGAATGAGTCCAACTGCTAGTCCAGACATGCTGGGGAAGGGACCAGGGCTGGGGGGGCAGCCCCTGGCCTTCACGTGTCTGCGTTTCGAGATAAAATGCAGTGACAGGCAATCTTGCATCATGTCATGATGCACAGGGTTGTTGGTCCCTGGAAATGTGGACCTACTCTGTGACTCACTCAGGAATGAGCTATGGCAGCAGCCGTCACGTTTAACGCCTTTAAAATTCTCTGCACCCTCCCCTCGGCGTGAACACCCTGGGTGTACTGAGCCCTTTGTGTATATTTGAGCAGGAAAGAGGAGAAGGCTTTCTCCTGTGCCAAACGGAAAAGAAAACAAAAGTATCCTTTGCTGCCTTGTCAGGCCCACGCTTGGTGATTTGCCACAGGGCCCGGACTCTCAAAGCCACAGAAACAAACTTGGCCACATGTGTGTCCAAGAGGCAGGACCGTCAATGGCTGCAAACTTCCAAAGAGGCTGACGTCACCGGGGCAGCAGTCACTCGGCTCCCGTAGGGCCCCGGCCAGGCCGCAGACCCGGAAAGCCCTGCGCCCGCCTCCCAGACCGACCGCCTCCCCCGCACGCTCACCCTCCAGCAGCAGCGCCGGTCTCCTGGTGGACGCCCCCACTTCCAAGGCAGCAGGTCTCAGCCGGGATTTTTTTTTAAGCATATAATCTAGAAAATACAAAGGATCACACTACTGATTTTCGGCCAAGATGTTACAGTTTTCCACCGTTTCGTGCCCAGTAGCTCTGTGCACACGGGTCGTTTTACACTCCCCAGTGGGCGCGTCCACCCCAGGGCGCGTCACGCTGTCTCTCGGTGTCTGGGTGTGGCTTGGCCAGGGTGTCCAGCAGGTGCGCAGCCAAGTGTAGAGTTCAACATGGGGGGCGGGGAGGCCTGCTCGAACTTGGCCCTGAGGCTGCCCCAGCGGAGCGGGAAGGGAAGGGGCTTTTTTGTTGTTGTTAACTTCATGACTTCGTATAAGCCCAAGAATCATGGCTAAAAACTTTAACGTAAAAACAATGTTTAAAGCAGCTGGAAACATTTCAGAAACGTTCGTGTGTTTACTTCTTTCCCGCACGCGTTCCCTTCGGCGTTTTCACGGCATCGATCATGTTTCGTGCAGACGCTCCCAGGAATTTCTTCCAAGCTCTCTGAGCCTCTTGGGGCGCCTGGCCGCGCCCCGCCCATGCAGGTGGGCCACCCCACCAAGGGTCCTTTTCTGCGAGTCTCCCTGGGTGGACCGGAGACCTGGCCCGGCCGGTGAGGAGCCCGCGGCGGCCGGGAGGCACGGAGGGAGCAGCGCCAGAGCCAGGAGTTTCCTCGGCGAGGGCTTCAGGTAAATAATGACTCGCACGTGCTGGTGGGGGCGCAGTTGGGACAGCTGTCACATGTCACCCAGGGGTCAGGACTTGGGGCTAGAGCTTCCGAGGAGGTCACCCCGGGCGTCCAGCACCCAGAACAGGCGTGGCAAGGTCAGGCTCCGCACGCGTCACCTCCCTCAACCCTCCGACGGTGCCACGAATGAGGCCTCGTCACTGTCCTCACTCCGCCCCCGTTCCTGCAGCTCGTACATGTCGGGGCAGACCCGAGTCCTGGCGTCCAGGCCCCAGCAGCCCGGCCACCACGTGTCCACACCTGGTACGTGTCCCCTCGGTCCCCCTGTGACGTGCGTCATCATTGCACGCCAGCTCCCTGGACACAGTGGAGTCCCGGCCGCCCCAGACTCCGCGCACGAACATGCGGGTGTGGATGTGGATGTGGACGGGAGGCCTCACTCCTCCCGTGACTGCGCCCAGAGCCGCGCGGCCCGCTGCCTGCGGTCCCTCTGCCTCCTGCTGCACTGTCACTAGGGGAGCGTAGCCACGGGGGACACCACTCTGGTGGGCGGGCTGTGGGTCTCAATTCCTGCCCCCACCAGGATCACACCCTCAGTGGGGCACTTGAATGCCTGCCATGCTGTGAGCAGCCGCTGGTCCCCAGAGGATGAGCAACTTGTCGTGAGAACTGAGACCAGAGCCACGCCAAGTCCAGCTCAGATTCCCCCACGGGCCCACCAGTGCGAGACCAAGACACCACCGGGTCTTATGCCAGTTTCTGAGTCGGCCTCGCTGTCACCATGGCCATGCAGGAAACCCGCTCCCAGGGTGTGTCCTCATGCCCTGTGGGTGTGACAGGGGACCCGGCTGCGGTCCGAGGCCCACCTGCCTTTGGAGCTGTGGGGTGCGGGGCTGCAGGACAGCCCTGGGCCTGGCGGGGGTCTGCAAACCTCAGGGAGCCCTGCAAATACTCGGCACCCCGGGGAGCCACCTTTAAAGGCACCGCTCGTGGGCTCCTCTCGACGGTGGCCCCAGAGGGGACTCGGGGTCCGCTGCAGCGGGTGGGACACTTTGCCGTGGCGCCTGTGTGGTTTGGACTCAGCCTGAGCCCAGGAGACAAACGCCCACACCCCTTCACAGCGGCCGGCCCACGGCGAGGGGGCGGAGCAGGGTCGCAGTTTGTAAGATTCGCCTGCTCTGGTCAAGCTGCCCGAAACACAACAGAGAATTTCGTACGAGTTGGAACAGTAACTGCGTTTCCGAGGAAAGCACGTCCCCGGGGTTCCCGAGGAGCCGCAGAAGCCCCGGGTCGATGCTCCCCCTCGTCAGCGGCTCCCTCGGACGGGTTTCCTCGGGGCGGCCTCGGGCCGGGGCAGAGCACTGGGTGAAGCTGGCGTGTGCTCGTAGCTGGTTTGATCAGCGCCTCGTGCCCTTCCCGATGAGAAAATGCGTTTCTGCAATTCCGATAGTTCCTGCTCAGTACCCACAGAGTCCCTCAAAGATGACCATTCTGTTCCGGGCTAAAGCCCCACACCATGACCACCCCACACACGAGGAGGAGCTTGAGGGTCTCCTGCTTCTCAGGTGCCACGAACCACTGGAGGTTTATCACAGGTTTTAAAAGCAGCGGAAGACCCGCCACGCCGACCCCAGTGCACAGGGCGCCCTTCCCTGGGTCCTGCCCACCGTCCTCTCCGCTTCCCCTTCAGCCTCACGCTTCCTAAGAACACAGACCACCAGGAAGTGGCCCCGGGGGTCCCCACGAGTGAGCGTGAAGGGCCGCAGTCACCATGTCTGGAAGGAGCAGAGCCACACACCAGGGCAGTCTCCCCACCACAACGTTGACCGCAGCAGCCGCGCAAAACCGGGCACTGGATGCGCGTCCACTGCGCCTGGCTCAGGCCCGGACCCCGTGGCCTTGGAAGCTGGGGTCTCGGCCCCTCCTCAGAAGACAGGCAGGGCCCTCCTCTCGGTCTGGGCGGCAGGTCACTGCGTTTGCCTGTGTCCACACTTCAGCCTTCACAGGGAAGGAAAGCCCAGCAGCTGTCCCCCCGAGAGATGAAGCTCGGGACCTCTGTCACTGGGCCAAGCCCCATTCAGACTCGCGTCATTGTTGGCCTGTGTGAGCACACCGGTGGCCTCGCCCCCCACCTCACGGACACAACACACACATCAGAACTCGGTGACAGCGGTGAGGACAGCGGGACGCCCGGCACCCCAGACTCACGGCCTGGATACCGACCTCGAACGGCTCCCCACCATGCCCCCGCCCTGACCCCAATACCCACCTGCCCCCCAAACCCGGCTCCCATCTGCCTCCTTGTGAGGAAGCCCACGGTGCTGCTGGCCCAACTGCTGACTTGGCACCCATGTCTCGGGCGCAGTGTCGGCCTGGGACTCGGCCCTTCCCAGGAGGCCCCGCCACCTTAGAGACACCACGGGGTCCACAGAAAGAGCCACGCTGGGGGCTGGGGGAGCCGGGGCTGCGGGGCGGAGACCTGGGCGTGTGGCCCTCCGGTGCATCTGACGAACACAGAACAAACCCCAGGTCCGAGACTGGCCGTCCTTTCAATCCGGATTCACACTTTACAGGGTCTAGGGCAGGAATCCAGCGGCAGCCTGATCTGCAACAGGCAGCGTGTGGAGACAGCCCCCCGGCCCCCAGCTCGCAGACCAGCGTGTGGGCACACACGTGAGGCGAATGCCACTCGGCCCAAAACCAGAGGGAACGGCCTGCAGAGGACAAACACCGAAAGCGGGCGAACTGCAAAAACACCGTGCCGCGTGATAGCAGGCGGGAGAGACCGCACACCCACGACTCCGGGGCGGAAACCGCCCAGAACCTTCCAGAACAGGCTGAGAGTGAACGAGGTACCCAGGGGCTGGGAGGCTGAGCTTGGGGGCGGTCAAGGGCGCAGGGTGTCTTTTTCGGAGGACGGGCAGGCTGTCAACGTGAAGGAGGAGCCGCTTACTCACACCTGTGAACGGGCTGAAACTGCTGACCGGGCACCTTCGCAGGCGGCCAGGGCGGAGTGTGCATTGCTTCACAGTGAAGCTGCTGGAAAATGAAGACGAGCCCCCAGGTTTCCCTTGCAGCCCTCTGGGGCGACCATTACCCCTCAATCTGGGACCCGGGGAGTGGCCGTTGGGGACTGTTTGATAAGCAAACCCTCTCCTGTGTGGCACACGCAACTCTCGGCGGCTCTAACCGGCCGGGCAGGGCAGGAGTTCCCGTAGCCACGGGGGGGGGGGGGGGCGCTGAGACCTCGCAGCGGGACAGTTCACTGGAGCAGGTAATGGATCTGTCCGGGGCCTTGGTGGGGCCCCGGACGGCGCCCGGGTCCTGCTGGCTAATCGGTGCCCTTTCGGGCAACCCGACCGTGTTTTCAGGGACCCGGGTCAGGACTCAGCCCCCGGCCTGGCCGCGCGCAAGCAAGGCAGTTAAGGAGCTGCCCAGTTTCCCCGAGTTGAACACACGTCCCGCGTAGCGTGTGAGCGAGTGTGCATGTGCCAGGTGTATACAGGGACACGCATGTCAGGGGGGGCGGGCTGCCCCACCGCCTCTCCTTGGCCCAGTCCCGAGTCCCCTCTGCGCGGTTCCTCAGTGGGGAAGAGTGGGGAGGAGGAAGAGTGGTCCCCCGCTCCTGAGTGCCGGCCGGGATGTGAGCCGGGGTGTGAGCAGACATGGGGCCCCAGGGGGTCACACGGCCGGGGCCCTGTTGTCCACAGACCCGACCTGGAGGGCCTCATTTGTGCTGGGCTCGCAGGACCCTGGGGCCATCTCAGTTCAAACACTGGCGCCACCCCACGGCGGCGCTGGGTCCGACTGGGCCGTCAGCGGGTCAACTGTGCTACACCCTCGCAGCTGGGCCCCCCGGGGGAAATACCCGCCAGCGAGGAGCAGCCTCACTGTGCCCTTTGCTGACTGCCCACCAGGGTCACTGCCCACTGAGGTCACTGCCCGCCGTGAGCACCCGTGTGCAGACCGGCTGCAGATGTTCGGCCTTGTCAGACACTTTCCTGACTGCGACCCTCTTCCTGGGGTGCCCTCAGGTCACCCCTGGGTGGTCAGTTCCTGCAGAGCCCACGCCCGCCCGCCCGGTCACTCAGACTGGTCAAAGAACGGCCATCTCCATGGTTGTATTCGTTCTAAAAGCCAGTTTATTTCAAGATTTTGCACATTCCGCAAAGCCCCCTTGGACACCAGCAGGCCCGCAGCTGCCCCAAATTGCCCCCGAGGCGGCTGTTCGGGTGGCGGAGGGTGCGGTTTCCCGGCCCCTCGCTCGCTCCCAGGCTCCGCTGTGCGGGCTGGAGAGTGGGAGTGAAGATGGTTCTCTTTCATTTCTGAGTCTTTAATTTCATGTTTGATTTCTGCATAAAATAGCTTGTAATTGCTTTGTGACAGTAATAAGCCTAAGATTACAACTCAAAATATGAGATATTATGTTCTTTTGTCATCGTATTCAATGAAAATGTGGTGTGATGCGGAGAGGCACAAAAAGCACCCCCAGCTCGCGCGGCGGCCTGGGCTGCTGACGCCGTTCAAGTCGCAGCTGAGGCCGGGGCGCCGGGCCGGCGGGACCACCCTCGCCTCCAGTGAGCTCCTCTCCGCCAGGAGAGCCGCCCTCTTCGCACAAGCTGCCGTGGGAAGGGGGAAACTAGAACATTCCATCACTTTATCAGCT